CAGGGTTCAGTCGGGTTGCTGAGCTCAGGCCCTTGTTCATGCCCCTCTTGAGAGAGGAGACAAGCAGCCACACAGCAGTTTGTCTGGCCGCCTGGCAGCTGCTATCCTGGCCCTTCACCCTCCCAGCAGAACAAGTTTGATGATTCACAGACACCGAAACCTAGGTAGGATGTGGGTGGATGCTGGGAGTTGTAGGGACCAGGAGCTAGCAGAGGTCCCAGGAGCAAGTTAGGGAGTCCGAATGGAGCTCTCAGGATATTTCAGGAGCCAGCCACAGAGGCTGGAGATCTGGGGTGGCAGGGCAAGACAGCCCAGGGTTCCCAAATTTGGGGCACACAATCTCCTCCAGGTTGGGAAAAGAATCCCAGGAAGGAAACTAGGATTGATGGAGGAGAAAAAGGATTTCTAGTTTAGTCGTGGGGGTCAAGGGGTGGGCGGATTCCGAGTAGGGCGCCTCCCAGCTCTGGGATGGTATGGGGATCTCTAAAACAGACAAGGGGATGCAGGTTACCCTAGATCATCTGGCCTGGGCCAAAGGGGTTACTCCACGGATGAACAAGGTCTGCTTCGGATTCAGTAGGGACCCCAAACTCAGTGGGAGTCGGGTGTCAATCTCCAGGAAGGGTTAGGACTCTGTGTGCTCCCTGAGGGTTAGCTGGTCCGAGGTCCCCGCTCTTGGTGAAGGCTGGGGACACAAATCGGAGCTGGAAGCGTACAGGCAGGGCCCCGGAGCCGGGGACACGGCCAGGGGGCAGTCTCCCGCTCTGCTCGGGCCCCCAGACAGATTCTAAGCTGGGCTCTCCAGGACCCGGCCTGCAGTCCCGCCCGGTCCGGCCCTGGGGGGCGGGCCGTTCACCTGGTAGCGCAGTCCGGACGGCTTGTCTTCGTCAGCCACTTCGAACCGGGGCCGGCGCTCGAAGTGCAGCGGCCCAAAGCGGGAGACCCCGCTGGACTCCGGCCCGGGCCCCGTGTCCTCCAGGGTCAGCTCGAAGGCGTCATCGATGCTGAACTGGGGCCGGGCGGTGGTCATGGCCCCCGCCCGCTCAGACGCTCCGCGCCGCCGCCATCAGCGCCGGCCGCCCGGCGATGACGACGCCCCGCCCGCCGTCAGGGCCACGCCCACCTCACAGGCCCCGCCTCGGCAAGGCCACGCCCCGTCGCCTGGGGAGTTTCTCGGGCCAGCGCTCCGGCTCCGGCCACGCCCTGCGCAATGGCTACGCCTCCTGCCGCTTACGGCAGGCCAAAGCTGCTGAGCGCCGAGCTGACCTGCGGCGGTGGGACCGGGACCTGTGGGAACAGGCCTTGCCCGCGGCGCCGCCCCGCGGCTGCCTGGGCGGTCGGCAGCTGTGTCCGGCCCGAGCTCGGGCCTGCTCGCGGACCTCGCAGTCTTCCTGCCGCGACCTCCGGGGCCGATCTGTGCGTTCCAGCACGGGCCTGGGGTGGTCTTGCCATTCTGCAGATGTGGATACTGAAGTTCTGGGTTTCGGTGACTTTCCCCGGACTCCAGTGCGGTCTGCACGCAGAAGCCAAACGTTCTTTTAAAATGAGTCTTCCAGCTGGGCTCCGGTGGCTCACGCCTGGAATCCCAGCTACTCAGGAGGCCGAGATCAGAGGATCACGGTTCAAAGCCAGCACAGGCAGAAAAGTCCACGAGACTCTTCTCTCCAATGAACCACCAGAAAACTGGAAGTGACGCTATGGCTCAAAATGGTAGAGTGCTAGCCTTGAACCAAAAAGCTGAGCCAGAGCTCAATATGCTGAGTTCAAGCCCCAGTACTGGGAGAAAAAAAAATCTGTAATGAATATTGTGGCTCACTCTTGAAATCCTAGATACTTAGAAAGTGGTTCCCAGCCAGTAAAACCCCATCTCTTTTTTCGTCTTCTTCCTTTGTGAAATTTGATCTTAATCAATAAAAACTTGGATATAGTGACACACATAACCTGTTATCCCAACTATGCAATAGGAGGAATCATGGCCCAAACCAGCTGGGCACCAGTAGCTCACACCTATATTCTAGCTATCCAAGAGGCTGAAGTCAGCTAGGCACCTCACATCTGTGTAATCCTAGCTATTCAGGAGGCTGAGATCTGAGGATCATGGTTCAAAGCCAGCCTCAGCAAGAACGTCTGTGAGACTCATCTCCAATTAACCACCAGAAAACCAGAAGTGGTGCTGTGGCTCCAGTGGTAGAGCACTAGCCTTGAGCTGAAGAGCTGAGCGACAGTGCCCAGGCCAAGTTCAAGACCCACAACCAAAAAAAAAAAAGATAGCTGTGTTCTATACAACATAGAGTAAAAGATCTAGTGTGTTCTCATTTAGCTTCCTAAGCACTGAGGTAACAGGCAGGTACCACCATACCAATTTCTCTCTCTCTCTCTAGTGGTACTGGTGTTTGAACTTGGGCCCCATGCTAAACACATACTCTATAACCACTTGAGCCATGTCCCCATCCCTATTTGTTAGTCTTAAAAACTCTTTTAGAAGCCAGGTGCCGGTGGCTCACACCTAGCTACTCAAGAGGCTGAGTTTTGAGGATTATGGTTTAAAGCTAGCCCAGGCAGGAAAGTCCTTGAAACTCTTATCTCCAATTAACTACCAGAAAATGGGAAGTGGCACTGTGACTCAAAGTGATAGAGCACTAGCCTTGAGCTGAAGAGCTCGGGGACAGTGTCCAAGACTAGAGTTCAAGCCCCACAACTGACCAAAAGAAAAAAACAAAAACCCACAACTTTTTTAGGGTCTGGAAGTGTAGCTCAGAGAAAGAGCACGTGTAGGCCGTGCTTTCAGATCTAATGCTAAACAAAATAATAAATAAAAATCCTGTATAAAAATTAGTATGCTGCTGAATCTGTTTAGAACCTCCTTGATTTTCCATTGTGACTAGAATCAGAACACTTGATAAGATTCTGTGAAGCCCTGAATGCTCTGCAGCCCATCTGCCTTTTCCACATTCATTCTCTAGCCCCTTTTCACCCTACTTAACCTCATTGAATTTCTTAGTTTTCCTGTAGAGGCAAAGCTCAGTCCTACCTTAGGGCTTTAGCACATGCTCTTCCTCCTGTACCTGAAAACACTTAAGTTTGCTCTTCTCACACTATATCACCTACAATCAATTTCACATCACATAACACTTACCTGAAACTACTTTATTTTCTGTTGTTTTATTCACCTCTGAATCTACAGTGCCCAGAAAAGTGTTTGGCACAAAGTAGATGCTCAGTAAACAGTTGTGACTGAGCCAGGGCATCCTGCCTGGATCATGCTCCTGTTGGCATTGTCTTCTAAGCAGATGTATTTGCAATTTTTAATTATTTTTATTATTATAAAGGTCACGTACAGAGGGGTTACTGCTTCATACATTGGGTAATGAGTGCATTTCTTTTCGGACAATGTCACCACTTTCCTTGCTGTCTCCCAGTTTTTCCCTCCCATCCCTGCCCACAAGTTGTACAGTTCATTTTCAACAAGGTGTCCAATGAGTACCACTGCAGCATTTGTTCGCCCTTTGTCCCTCCATTTCATTTGCAATTTATGAACATGGTGTCATGTACCAATCTCACCGTGGTATTTCTATTTTTCCACTGGCACTCATCTTGTTTCTCCTAGTTTGCAAGCACTGGGCTTCCCCATTCACTCCCACATGCCACTGTAGGGAAGATCTTCCTACCGTCTCCTATGAAAGGTGGGAAAACATCAAGACTTCCAGGTCACAGGACCTGTGCCCTTGGGAATTCACAAAGCATGGAGCTACCCCCAAAGGTGGCCAGTGGCTTTCTCTTAGAGTTGGTGTTATCTAGCTCTTTTTTCTGCTCAAGGCTAACATTCTAAGCCTCCACTTCAGGCCTATTGGTGGTTAGTTGGAGATCAGGGTCTCAAGGATCTTCCTGCCCAGGTTGGCTTCAACAGAGATCCTCAGCTCTCAGCCTCTTGAGCAGCTAGGGTTACAGGCCTGAGCCACTGGCTCCTGGCTCATTTTGAAGATATCAATTGGCTTTCTTTTCTATTCTAAAATGGGTAACACTTGGATGCATAAAATAGGAGTTATACATATTCTAAACCCTCTTTTTCATTTCTGTGGTCTGCTTGACTATTTCTCAAGCTAAAGTCATATGCCTTTTTTTCCTTATTATTATTTTGTGAGCCAAATGTCTTATTATATATCACAAACTGACTTAAAGAATCACTGTACAGCCAGGTTTGCCTTCAACTTGTAATCTTTATGCCTCAACCTCCAGATTTCTGGGATTATAGGTATGGATTTCCTAAATATGTTATTGAGAATGTTATTTTAGTTATTTTCCCCATGCACTGGTGTTTGAACTAAGGGCCTTGAACTTGCTAGGCTGGTGCTCTACCCGTTAAGCCATACTTCCAACTCTGGCTTTTTGCTGGTTAAGCGATGATAAAGCCTCTCAGATTTGTCTGCTTGGGCTGGCTTGGAACCTTGATCTTTAGATCTCAGCCTTATGAATAGCTAGGATTATAGGCATGAGCCTAGGTGCCTGTCTTGAACTCAGGGTCTAGGTATTGTCCCTGAGCCTCTTTGTGCTCAAGGCTAGCGCTCTACCACTTATGCCACAGCACCACTTCTGTTTTGGTTGGTTAATTGGAAATAAGAATCTCATGGGCACTTTGCTGCCCAGGGTGGCTTGGAACCAAGATCCTCAGATCTCAGCCTCCTGAGTAGCTAGGATTACAGAAGTGAGCCACCGGTGCCTGGCTCATCTGCAATTTTAAATGGAGTGGCACGCAGCCATGAGCGAGGACCAAAGTCCCAACCAGCTCAAAGACCCAAAAGCGAGGGTCGCCCCGTCGCCCCCCTCGCCTTCCCTCCCCCCATCCCCGCTCCCCGTCCCCCTCCCCGCTCCCCGGCCCCCTCCCCGCTCCCCGTCCCCACGGGCTGGGCTCCGCCCCTAGGCATCCTCAGGCCCCGCCCTTGAAGATCCACGGTACCCCGCGCAGCATGGAGAACCAATCACGGCGTGCTTCCACGTTCCCGCCCCTTTTGGCTTCTGCCCTCAGACAAAATGGCGCCAGCTCGGAAGCTGCCGAGGCTCTAGGAGTTGTCGAAACAGTTCCGGAAGCTACCGAGCGAATCCGGAAGTTGCCGAAAAACAGCAGCGGGGAAGGAGGATGGCGGAGATCATCGCAAGACTCCGAGAGGACGGCATCCAAAAACGTGTGATACAGGAAGGCCGAGGAGAACTCCCCGACTTTCAGGATGGAACCAAGGTTCGAGCCCACCCCTCCCCTTTTCCACTCTGCCGCGGGATGCGCATGCGAGGCGGGAGGAGGCCCGAGGCGAGAGGTTGCGCATGCCCAGAAAGCAGCGGCCGGTGACTCTACTGCTCACGTGCGGAGCTCGACGCTGATTGGTCTGGATTTAAGTAAGGGGTAAATTCGGAAGCGTGTTCCCGCCCCCTGCCTTGCCCTTGGGTTTGTATTGGTCGCTAGCAGGCTGTCAGTTGTCTCAAGCGGGTCCCCAGTCAGGTACCAGAGCCTTTGGGGTCTGAGAGAACTGAAGTCCTGAGACCCCGAGACCAGGTTCCCCAGACCAGAAACTGTTGTCAGCTTTCCAGTGAGTCTAGTCTGGGACAAACGAGGTTTTGGAAAGTGAAGAGCCATTCACTTTCCCGCTGCTTACCTCCGGGTCCCAGCCCCTTCCCCTAGGCAGCGTGCACCCCAGCTTCCCTGTTTCTGAAGTTCCTTCGAAGTGGAGATTTCTCCACGTTGGGATTTTGTACGTAGCTAAGAGCTCCAGGGCAGCACACGAGTGCCTAGCAATCGAGCATTCACGCGGGGAAGGTAGCTGGAGCTAGTGGATAAAAATCCTGGTTAGTTCCAGGAAAGAGGAAAGTGTCGGCCCTGTGAATGAGTGTCTGCTCCCTGGCCAGCGCTGTGCCAAGTTGGACTGATAGTCGTAGCCCGATCGTCTGGGAGCTGTGAGGAGCTGTGTGGTTGTAGTGTTCAGCTTTGTTAAAAGATCTCCAAGAATAGAGAGGGTGTGTGGTGGGGTACATCTCTCTCCCCCCCACCTCCCGGGCTGGGAGCCCCTAACAATGGGGATTCTGGATGGAATAGAACTAGGAGACAGTAACACAAAGGTAGAGAGATCTATGAATAGTGGCATTCAACAACAGGAAGAAACAGTATGAAAAGGCCATCACACCAGGTGCTGGTGGTTCACACCTGTAGACTTAGCTATTCAGAAAGCTGAGATCTGAGGATCACAGTTCAAAGTCAGTCCAGGCAGGAAAGTTTAGTCTGTAAGACTCTCATCTCCAATAAACCTCCAAAAAGCTGAACGTGGAGCTGTGGTTCCAGTGGTAGAGGGCTAGACTTGAGCAAAAGAAAATCAGGGACAGAGCTCAGACAAACAAAACACCCAAAACATATTGCCAGGACTGAGGGCGTAGGACTGAGTGGCAGTCAAGCATGTGAGGCCCTGAGTTCTATCTCTATACTGCAGCAAACCCCAAGGCCCCATTCACCAGCACTGTTTGCCGCTCAGTGTGTGAGCTGTGTGCTACATGATGTTCTCCTCTTCATTTCCCATAATGGGAGATTGCTATTAGTGTTGATTCGATTTTACCAATGTGAAACTGAGTTCACAGGAGCCCTGTAGTGCAGCAGTTGAGAGCGTGGGCTCCTCTAACCACATCCTGTCATGGACTTCTGTTTTGAGCTTTCTTTTCTGCTGTCACTCGTGTGTGTGTGTGTGTGTGTGTGTGTGTGTGTGTGTGTGTGTGACACATTAGTACTGGTGCTTAAACTCAGGGTCTGAACACTTTCTCTTCCTTCCTTCCTTCCTTCCTTTCTTTCTTTCTTTCTTTCTTTCTTTCTTTCTTTCTTTCTCTCCTTCCTTCCCTTCCCTCCCTCCCTACCTCCCTCTCTCTCTCTCTCTTCCTTTCTCTCTCTCTCTCTCTCTTTCTTTCTTTTTCCTGTCATGGGGCCTGAACTCTGGGCCTGGGCGCTGTCCCTCAGTTCTTCAGCTCAAGGCTAGCGCTCTACCACTTGTGGCACAGCACCTTTTCCACCTTTTTCTGCTTATGTGATGCTGAGGAATCGAACCCAGGGCCTCAGGCATGCAAGGCAAGCACTCTACCACTGAGCCACCTTCCCAGCCCCACTATTTCTTTTTTTAAGATGGAATATTGGTATCTTTATTTCACAGTTAGCAAGCCAGTTGTTATAAAGGCCTGCAGCCCACAAACACACTTAACACAGCTAGGAAACAGGCCAGAGAGGAAAGAAAGAACGAAAACAGTACCAGCAAATCAATTCAGCTCCAATGGAGAACTGATTGGGATGCCATGACAGCCAGAGACAGGACACGGGATAAGATCGTGGAGACACACATGCATGGCGTTATGGGACCTGTGAGCGCTATTTCTTTCCTGAAGGCCGGCACTCTAGCACTGGAAACCAGCCCCACTTCTAGCTTTTAGGTGGTTGATTGGGGGTAAGAGCCTCACAGACTTTTCTGCCTGAATTGGCTTTGAACCTCAATCCTTAGATCTCAACTTCCTGAGTAGCTAGGCTTATGGGTGTGTGAGCCACCAGCGCCCGGCTACACCTGTCATTCTTTTGGTCTAGAAAGTTCTTCTCCTAGTACTTGTCTTGCTGGTTTCCTTTCTTGCTCTTTTCAGGTTTCTCATTAGATGTTGGCTCTTCAGAGGTGCCTTCATCTCCGCCATTGTTTAAACTAGTCCTTCCTTACCCTGCTGTATTCTCTCGAACCCTAAGTGTTTGTCTTCATCTAGCATAGCATATAGATGAGCCCCAGGCCCATCTCTTCCGTCTAGAAGTTCCTTTGGTGCTCTTGTGTGGTAGGGACTTTTGTTCACTGCTATCTACCACCAAGTTCAGGCACATAGTAGATGCTCAGTAAATAGTTTTTCAAGGCATGATTGGAGTTCCACAGGTTGGCCTGTGTGTGTGTGTGTGTGTGTGTGTGTGTGTGTGTGTGTGTGTGTGTGTGTGTGTGCTAGTACTGGGGCTTGAATTCAGGGCTTTGTATTCACTCTTGGCCCTCTGCTACTTGAACCACACCTCCACTTCCAGTTTATTGTTGGTTAATTTGTCTGCCTAGCTGGCTTTGAAGCATAGTTCTTCGATTTCGGTCTCCTGAGTAGCTAGGATTACAGGTGTGAGCTACCAGTGCCCAGCTCTTAGTTCCTTGCTGGGGTGAGAGAGTCAGATATGGTTCGATGATGATCCTGTGTAGAAGGGGCTGGAGGTGACGGTTTCTGGTGAATGTTTGTGGACTTTCCTGATGTCTCCTGTGGTCCGCAGGCCACATTCCACTACCGGACGCTGCACAGTGACAATGAGGGCTGTGTGCTGGATGACAGCCAGGTGCGTGGTAAACCCATGGAGCTCATCATTGGCAAGAAGTTCAAGCTGCCTGTGTGGGAGACCATCGTGTGCACCATGCGCGAGGGGGAGATTGCCCAGTTCCTCTGTGATACCAAGGTACCAGCCTGCAGCCACAGTGCCCAGCCGTGCCCTGGTCCCCCTCCTCCACATCACACCAGTCTCCTGACTGTCAGGCTGGCCTCTGTCTCACCTTCTTCATCCACTAGCCAGACTGCAGCTAGCTTTCAAGTGTTAATGGTCCGTAGGACCCCTATTCTATAGCTCCTGCTCCTTATCAGGCTGGATAAAAGTGGCTGCTCCTGGCCCTTCAGGATCTGTTTTTTTTTGTTTTTGTGGTGCTGAGGAATCGAACCCAGGTCTCATGCACATAAGGCAAGCACTCTACCACCGAGCCACCTTCCCAGCCCAAACTTAATTTTGCCAGACACTGTTGGTGCATGCCTGTAATCTTTTTTTTTTTCCTTTGGGGGATGGGGTCCGGTCGTGGGGCCTGAACTCTGGGCCTGGGCGCTGTCCCTCAGCTCTTCAGCTCAAGGCTAGCGCTCTACCACTTGAGCCACAGCGCCACGTCTAGCTTTTTTCTTTTTGCTTATGTGGTGCTGAGGAATCGAACCCAGGGCCTCATGCATGCAAGGCAAGCGCTCTACCACTGAGCCACCTTCCCAGCTCCCTTCAGGATCTGGCCCCTGCTGCCTCCCCACCTACCTGCCTCTCCCTGTTCATTTCCATTCTTCACTGCTGAGCCCCTCCCTCATACTTCATAACTCATTTCTGGGTTACCATTCCTTGGGAAGCCCTCCCTGCCTGCCAGAGGTTGGCTTGAGCCCCTCTGGTCTTCCAGCCTTCATGCACTGCCTGCCAGGATCTGGCCTTCTGTCTGGTGAGATCTAGCCTGCTTACCTCTTGCTTCTGGTTGAAGACATCCCAGAACTCAGGCTCAGGACTACACGAGTTAGTCCAGCAGTGTACCTTTGTGGACAGCAGGGGGCAGTAGAGAGCTAAACAGATTACCACCATCCAATTAAAGGAGAGAGGCCAGGCCTTCTGTACTAGCTCCTCAAGAGTTTTTGTTGTTTTTACTTATATTTGTTTTTGATATGTGGGCCTTAGTATTGTTCAGGCTGGTCTTAAACTCCTGGGCTCAAGTGCTCCTCCTGCTTCAGCCTCCCAAGAAGCTGGGACTCCAAGTGCCTGCCACCAGCCTGCACCAGGCTATTCCTCTAGGGCTTGTTGCCCCAAGCCCAGCTCTGAAGGGGGTCTAGACTCAGGTAGGGGTAGGGCAGGAGGAGGAGGAAGTGGTGCTGGAAAACAGATGTGAGGAGTCCAGCTTATGAGGAGAAGAGGAAGGGAAGGAAGAGATGGAGGAGGAGGAAGAAGAGGAGGGCCGGGGAAGGAGGGGGGGCGGGGAATTCCATTGAATCTAAAAGGCCGGATGATACGACTGGATGGCAGGCTTGTATGTTTGCAGGTGGTTCAGTGGTCAGAGAGTGTGGCTGAGCTGGGAAGGAGGGAAGAGAGGCCAGAGGAGCCCAAAGCAGCCCAGGGAAACAAGCTTTCTCAGGACTTTAGCACAGAGAAGGGACAGGGCCATTGGTCCCTGTTTGGACAGGGACGGGGAGTCAGGCCTGGTGAGCACCAGCCCACATTGATGGAGGCCCTGGCTCCCACCCGCCCTCCTGCAGCATGTGGTCCTGTACCCACTGGTAGCCAAGAGTCTCCGAAACATCGCCGCAGGCAAGGACCCGCTGGAGGGCCAGCGGCACTGCTGTGGCATCGCCCAGATGCATGAGCACAACTCCCTGGGCCACGCGGACTTGGATGCCCTGCAGCAGAACCCCCAGCCGCTCATCTTCCACATTGAGATGCTGAAGGTAAGACCCCCCCACCCCGCTGCTTCTCTGGGCCCCTGCTACCCAGGGTGCCCAGGGATGGTGGACCAGCGTGTAGTCTGATACAATAGGAGCAGGGCAAAAACACCCTAGAATCCCCACAATCTCCAGCCTCCCTCGCGAGGCCCCTGGGCTTCTTCAGGCCTCAGTGTTCACCACCTGCAGGAGGCCGGTCCTGCTGCTCCTTGCTTCCTGTATCCGCTCTCCTAAGCCCACCTCTGCCTCCACAGCCTGCCACACCAGGGCAGCTGGACATTATGAACTTATGTGTCTGCCCACAGCCCTGCCAGGGCAGGGGCACACTATCTTGTTTACTTGTACTGCCACAGTGCTGGGCATGAGAGATGCTAAGGAGTTATGCGTTGAACTGTCAGTGCATGGAACAGCGTCTGCTCTGAGCATCTAGTGTCAAAGCCCAGCTGGTGTAGGCGCTGGTCAGATCTGTGGCTGAGGACACTGGGATTCCCTTGCGCTTTTGTATGTGTGTGCCAGTACTAGGATTTGAACTCAAGGCCAGGGCATTTTCCTTTAGGTTTTTCTTTGTTGTTGTTTTAATTTAATTTAGTTTTTTGTCGGTCATGGGGCTTGAACTCTGGGCCTGGGCACTGTCCCTCAGCTCTTAAGCTCAAGGCGAGCACTCTACTGCTTGAGCCACAGCGCCACTTCTGGTTTTCTCCTGGTTTATTGGAAATAAGAGTCTCACGGACTTTCCTGTCTGGGCTGGCTTTGAACTGTGATCCTAAGATCTCAGCCTCCTGAGTAGCTAGGATTATAGGCCTGAGGCACCAGCACCTGGCTAATTTTATTTTTTTGATAGTCATGGGGCTCATCCTCTGAGCTTTAGCACTACCCTGAGCTTTCTTGTTTGAAAGTAGTGCTCTACCTCTTTGAGCCACAGCTCCACTTTCAGTTTCTGGTGGTTACTTGGACATGAGAGTCTCATGGATTTTCCTTCCCAGATTGGTTTCAAACCACATTCCTCAGGTCTCAGCCTCCTGAGTAGTCCCTTAGCTTTTTCACTCAAGGATAGTGCTCTACCATTTGTGCTACACCTCCACTTCCAGCTTTTTGGTGGTTAATTGGAGATAAAGAGACTCACAGACTTTTCTGCCCAGACTGACTTCAAACCAGGACCCTCCAAGCAAGGATTGTGGTTGTGAGCACGTGGCCCTCGGGCTCTGTCGTGATGTCGCCCCTGCCTTGGCAGGTAGAGAGCCCTGGCACATACCAGCAGGACCCATGGGCAATGACAGATGAGGAGAAGGCCAAGGCGGTGCCGCTCATCCACCAGGAGGGCAACCGCCTGTACCGTGAGGGCCAGGTGAAGGAGGCTGCCGCCAAGTACTATGACGCCATCGCTTGCCTGAAGAACCTGCAGATGAAGGTGTGCGGGGGAGATGGCCATGGGCGAATCGGAGAAGCAGAATCTGGGCCCGGATCTCACCATCTACTTTCTCCATGCCCCTGTTTTCCCAGGAGCAGCCTGGGTCCCCCGACTGGATCCAGTTGGACCAGCAGATCACACCACTGCTGCTTAACTACTGCCAGTGCAAGCTGGTGGCGGAAGAATATTATGAAGTGCTGGACCACTGCTCCTCCATCCTCAACAAGTACGACGGTGAGCGGCAGGTGCCACACGGGAGGGCCAAACAGCCCGTTCCTCTCTGCCACCGCCGGACACGGGGGCTGAAGCCTGAGCTTTGATATCCCAGCTTGACTCCCTCTCCCCACTCCCCCAGACTAAACACCCCACTCAGCTCTGTTGCCTGGGATGCGTGCGTGGACAGTGGCAGGGTTAGCCCCAGGTCAGGGTCCCCTGATGGGTCCCCATGCCAGGCGGCAGGGCCCCGTGGATGGCCGGTCCCCCTCATGCCTTTGTGTCCCTGCAGACAACGTCAAGGCTTACTTCAAGCGGGGCAAGGCCCATGCGGCCGTGTGGAACGCCCAGGAGGCCCAGGCCGACTTTGCCAAGGTGCTGGAGCTGGACCCTGCCCTGGCGCCTGTTGTGGGGCGCGAACTGCGGGCACTGGAGTCCCGGATCCGGCAGAAGGACGCGGAGGACAAGGCCCGCTTCCGAGGCATCTTCTCCCACTGACGGGGCCTCCTTTCCTGCACCACCTCGCCAAGTCCATTGCTGCCTCCAGCCCACTCACTGCTTCTGTGTATATTATAAAGTCCTTATTTATCTCAGTGTGTCTCTGGTGAGCCCATCCATGCAGGGGGGGGCGGGGATGGCAATCAGCAATGCTTCCTGGTCATCTGGTAGACCTTTGGAGGCAGCTCTGAGGCAGCTCTAAGACCTTTCGACTTCAGTGTCACTGCTTAATAAAGGGGTATTCCTCTGGGTGGTATCAGGGAACCCCAGGAGGTTCATCCTGTCTTAAGGGGGAGATGAAGGTCTGGCTAGGTAGCTTGCTTGGTGCTTTGGTGAGGTGGTCTTTTGGTGTAGGCCTTCCCCTGTCTCTGCTACTAGGATCGCCCTTGCTTGGCTTCTGGAGGCAGAAATTGTCTTGGAGGAGGCAGAGCAAGAAGCCTGGCGGGGAGGGGGATCCCTTCTAACTCTGGCTGGGGTGACGGGGAACACTGGGCCTTGCGGGAAGGAGTGGCAGGGTGCTCTGTGGTGCTGTGGAGGCCTCGTGACCTGGGCCTGTCCCAGCTCCTCTCTGCGCTTCAGTGTCCCAGCTAGAGGCTGGGCGGTGCGCTGTGCTGCGCTGCCAGGCCACTAGGACACAGGTGAACGCAGGTGTTTATTTTTATGAGTTCACACACACTGAAAAAGCCACTGGGCCTGGCTCACTCCCCCCACCCCCTCCCGTGGGCAGGGTTCCCCAAGAAAGGGAAGTAACACTGAGGAGCAGACAGATGTAGGGTGTCTAGCCAGGGGACCCATGGCTGGGGCCACAACTCTAGGCCCTCAGTCTCCCACACGCAGGCATCCAAGTGTCAATAAATAACCCAGGTCCAGCCACATTTGGGGGGGGGGGGGTCACTCTTCACAGTCCAATTTGAGGCTGATGCTTCGGGCCTTGCCCCGGGCCAGGGTAGTCGGCGGGGTCCCTGGGCCCTCTCGGTCTGCCTGGCTGGGGCCCCTGGAGCGAAGCAGCTGGCTCTGCTTGCGGAGAAAGTCCACTGGAGCAGCTACACCATAGCTGCTCTTGGCCAGGGCAGTCCTTGGGGGTCCGGGTGGGGCATGAGAGTGGGAGCCTGCCTCCAGCTGGCCCAGGTGGGCCACGTAGCCATCTGACAGGAACTGCAGGCAGAGATGGGCAAGGATGAGGTGATGCCAACCTGAGTTCACCCCCCCCCCCACTTCCCATACCCTCCCCAGGCCCCTGCAGCAGGGCCGGGCAGCTGGACAGCACTGCAGATGACACGTCTGGCCCAGCTGACCCCAAGCCTTGTCTCAGTAGTTAAGCTGTTGAACCAGGGTGCCCTGCTTTACTCCTGCCCCGGCCCTGCTCTGGCCTATCTTACTTAGAAGGCAGCATCTTGGGTAAATAACTGCAGCTAATATTTAGCAATCACTTACTGCCCTGGGCAGTAAACAATGCCATCTTTACAATGAGCAGATGAGGCCAGGGCCAGCATTATGTTCAGCTTACAGGCAGAAAACAGGCGCGGAAAAGTCCAGGCCATGGCGGAGGAGCCAGCCTTTGAGACCTGGAGCCATACGCCTGCCTGGGCTACCCCCGGTCTGCCTTGTAGCTAGGTAGGCAATCTGCTGTTTGTGATTCCTGTCCCAGGAAGAACTTAGGCTCCCTGTGGCGGGTGGGCTGCTCCGGCTTCCTCACCCCACCATGAGTCCCAGCCCCGTGGGCGGTTGTTAGGTCCTGTTCCCTGTAGTCCCTTGATCCTCACCTGGCACTGCGCCTGCAGCTTCCGCACAGCACGGCCCACAATGTAGGTCTGGCCAGGGGACAGGCCAAGTGCCGCATAGACAGCAACGTCTTTGGGGGATCCGTAGCCGGCTACAATGTTCAGTTCTACCTGTGGCAGGAGAAGCCAGTGACCAGCCTGGGGATGGAACCTTAGGGTTGGGGGTGGGGCTTGTGAGCATTTTCCAATCAGGCCGTTTTGGGGGTGGGCTCTCTGGGCAGAGGTAAAACCAGCTGACTCAATTTCCTTGGTTGGCCCTAAGGACTAGGGTCCCCTAGAACCAGGATGGCCAGCCTACAGGGACTTCCAGTTACTTGGCCAGGGCCAAATGGGAGTAGAATGAGATGGGTCTTTGCTGTCGTGCCTGGGGTGAGGGCCGGGAGGGGACCTCCCCCAGCCACCGCACCTCCTGCACCAGGCTCTGCAGAAACATGGCCTTCTGGCGTAGAGGGTCATGAGTGAGGCCATCGCAGAAGGAGACGACCCCGTGGGGGAAGTTGTGCTGGGACAGCCAGGCCACCACGCGGTGCTTCTGCATGTCAGGCCGGCCAGTCACATACACGATCAGGTAGCCCGAGTCCTGCCAGTGTCTGTGGGGTAGGGACCCGGTCAGCTGCACAGGTCAGGGTGGGGGCCGGTTGCTGTGGTGAGCAGGGTGGCAGCTCCTACCTGACCACGTCCACGGCACCAGCGCGCACCTTGGGGTCGCTGCCCATGATGGAGACACTGGCGGTGAAGGAGCCATCGATGCTGAAGACCACAGCTTCCGTGCCACGGGCCACCACTGTGAGGCAGCACTCGGCGTAGGTGTGGTCACCCCTGCAATGGAGGGGGCCTTGAGCAGGACGGGACAAGCCCAGCCCCCCAGAGGCCCAGCTGCCTGCTGCTCACCTGACCACCATCCGCACGGGGTAGACGCCGATGCCCAGCGCCCGCTCACCGGGCACTGGGAAGGTAAGACGGCCCGAGCTGTTGGTGACTTCAGTGCCAAAATGGATCCACTTGCCTGACAGCGGCTGTGTCATGATGTAGACATCCACCTGGTGGGAAATGGGCGTGGAAAGGGCCACGGGAGCAGAACTCTCAGGCGCTGCCCGGCTTCCGGCAGAGGAAAGCAAGCCTGGCCTGGCACTGGAAGAGGGTGGGAGGCCCAAGCCCTGCTGATCAAGGGGGCCAGGAGGTGGGGCCAGAAATACCGGGGCTGAGCCCAAGTCCTGACCTTCTCTCCAGTGAGCGTGACCACATCCAAGGGCCCGTACATGAAACGTCCGTTCAGCACCTGGGGGCGGCCCTCGCACACCACTGTGTCGCTGGCCCGATGGTTGGAGGTGACATTCTGCGGGGAGGAGACGGTGGGCGTTATAGGGGAGGGCGGATGAGAATGTGGGATGGACCTGGAGCAGATGGGGCCTCTGGGGGAGACCCCGGAGGGCAGGCACCCCTGCGGACCTCAACGTGAGGTGGTGAGCGTGGTTTCAAGGGACAGAGCTGTGACTGGAGGGATGCTGAGATGAGATCCACCTTCATAAAGGGAGCAGGAGGTGGAGTGGGCGGGGCTAAGGCAATAAGGGGGTGTGGCCAACCCCTTGGGTGGGGCGTGGCACTTACCCGGATCTTGACTTGGGTGCGTTTGCGTTGCCACTTCTCCCTGGGGAAGGCAGGGCTGTAGATGGATGGTTCCTCACACTCTGCCAGCTGTGGCCGCTCCTTCTCGATCACCTGACGACAGAATCGGGGCCCAGTGCAGGCCAGCCCTGGCTCTCATCCTCCCCTGGGACCCTTCCACTACGCTGCCACCACTCACCTGGCGTAGGATGAAGGCCACCACGTCGGCAGACTCCCAGTAGCTGGCGTGGAAGAGGTGGGGCAGCGTGACCGTGGGGAAGGCGGTGAGCGCCTCGGGGCAGTACAGCGAGTAGTCGATCCGCTTGGTCCCCCACCAGCGCTCCAGGACTGCACGGCCACGGTGGGCAGTGAGTCAGGGTGGTCAGCTCCGGGCGCCCAAATGCCCTGCCCCTGCGGCTCCTCCCTCCCTCCTCTCTGCCAGAATGCTAACGTGCAGACCGGATGCTATAGATGGGGCCCAGGGTACTATGCTAGGGGACAGGGTGTTTATTTTATGGACTAAGAACCCCCCCCCCACACACACACACACACATACACACAGGCTGAATTGCCCAGTGGCTTGCTGACTTACTCTTAACCACCTCACTGGTGGTGCTGGGGGCCGCTGGCTGAGCTGTTGGCTCAGTGCCTAACTCAGTGCCCTTCCAGAAGGCACCACTGGCCGACGTGGGCGTTGAGGGCACCATCATCTCCAGTTCCTCCAGAAAGAGGCCCGAGTGGGTTTGCAATGTATCAGCTGGGAAGACAGGCCAGCCTCAGCCCTGGGCAGGGACAGCTTTCCCTCCCATCTCCTTACCCAGGGGTCCCCTCGTAAGACTGCCTGTCCCCTATCTGGGCAGGACAGAAGTGGGGAGGCTTTGTCTCTGGCTATCCCCAGCTACACTTCTGATATAATGAATGCCTGTCACCACACCCCAAACACATTTGCACAACTGTACCGGTGCCCATGACCCTTCCTTGTGGCACCAATGAATATTTAATTACATGCAGACTTGTGCATGCTCCTGGCTCAGGGAGCCACAGTGAGCCCATACAGATGGACACACCTAGCTGTGGCACACCCTGCCTGCTAGACTCCCTTTGTCTCCTCTCTCTAGGTTAGTCATTGCCCCCGCCCCCCACTTAATACAAGTTAGAAGGTCCTATAGGCTGGTTGCTAGTAGTTCACGCCTGTAACCTAGCTACCCTGGAGGCTGAGTCTGAGAATTGTGATTCAAAGGTAGCAAGGGAAAGTCCTGGAAATTATTATTCCAACTAGCCACCAAAAGCTGGGAATGGAAAGGTGGCTCAAGTGTCAGAGTGCTAGCCTTGATCACAAAAGGTCAGGGATAACACTCATGCCCTGAGTTCAAGCCCCAGGACCAGAAAAGAGAGAGAGAGATTGACAACTGTGATTAGAAGCCAGCATGGGGGGCTGGGAAGGTGGCTCAGTGGTAGAGTGCTCGCCTTGTATGCCTGAGGCCCTGGGTCCGATTCCTCAGCACCACATAAACAAAAAGAAAAAAGCCGGAAGTGGCGCTGTGGTTCAAGTGGTAGAGCACTAGCCTTGAGCTGAAGAGCTGAGGGACAGCACCCGGGCCCAGAGTTCAGGCCCCACAACCGGACCAAAAAAAAAAAAAAAAAAAAGAAGCCAGCATGGGCAGTAAAGTCCAGAGACTTACCTCCACTTAACCACTAAATCATCAGAA